GCCTTTAAAGCTTTCGGTGACAGCATATGATTTGGTCAAAGTATGAAGCTTTTCAAAGGTAGACATTCTCATTCCCATTCATCTCTCTCTTGGCTTCAATATAATTTTCTTTTTTTTGGGGGGGGGGGTAAACTGGCAAGATTCCAAATGGCTTTGACAGATTGGCTTCATGCAGTATTGTCACTGTGACTTACAGACAGTAGGTCGTCTGTAAAGATAGAGACCACGAAATGAACGGATTACGTGTAATGTTTAAGCAAAATGGTCCTTCATCAGGGTCTATTTAGAAAGCCACATTTGTACCATTTGAAACGCAGAACAGAAGCCTCATCATCTTTGTCCTTGATGCAGAAATGGTAGCCGAACCCAAATATAAAAAAATAAAGCAAACGAGTGGTCATGTTATCAGTTAAAACGTGAATTGACTTGTACTGATAGCAGAGCCACTACAATTTAAGTTTATTTCAATATAAATACATAATGACTCCGTCATGAAGACCCAGACTGACTCGAGAGCTTATCCGAAATATTACACACGCTAAAATGATTCAACATGTTTAACTGTGGTGATATGGTTGCCTCACAGTTCAGAGGTCACGGGTTCAAACTGGAGCTCCGGACTTCCTGTGTGGAGTTTGAATGTTCTTCTCCTGCCTGCGCGAGTTTCCTCCCACATTGCTAAAACATTCATGGCAGACTCCAAATTGTCCATTGGTTCTATGTGAGTGGTTGTTGGTCTATGTGACCTGGGATTGGCTGGCAACCACTTTAGGATATACTGTACCTCCTCCCCAAAGACAGCTGGGATAGGCTCCAGCACACTCGCGACCCTCATAAGGATAAGCCGTAAAACAAAACGGTTGATTTTGTTATTTTTGCTTTTAGTACATATACGTTTATTTTCTTGACATTTTAAGTCATGCATACATTAAAGAAACGATGATTGAAAATAAACCCTGCATTGCCATCTGCACACTTGGGTCAATTCATGGAGCCCAGAGTTGAAAGGAGGCATGGTGATGCTGCATTTAGCTGTTATGCTGCACACAAATGGAATAAACTGACAGCAGACGTGAAGTCAGCCAGGTTAATCCAGGTTAAAAACTATGATAACGGTCCTCTTAACAAGGTTAAAACACTTTTATTTCTTCTAGATATTTTAGAAACCCACTTTTATTTCTTTAAAGTTTTCATTTAATGTGTTTAAACGTTGTCAAAGTACATCGTAGTCATTTTTGTCAGCTGCTTTGCTTTTGAATAGCATTTTTTTGTGTTTGTAAATGCTTGTACGTGTTGTGTCTTTGTGTGAAGCACGTTGAGTTGCCTTTTCTACTGACTAGAACCACACCTCCCCACATTCACTTTGAAGAGAAGCAAAGATGAGTTTAGATAACACAAGAGGCGATCACCGTTACAATCTTTTATTAAACCAAGTGTTGGCAACTGTGAACAAAGAAATTTTGTTTTTACTGATAATGAAGGTGTAACATCAATGAACTGAGTCTGATGCATGCAGGTTAAAAATGGTGTTGTGAATGAAACACGAAACTGTGAATGATGCTCATTTCATGCTCAAATATTGCACTAAATGTACACATACTACATTCAGTGACACCTGTAAAGATATAGATTTATATTTGTGATACTAACGTGTGTGATGGTTATTTGAAGGATTATAAGTCCTTCAAAATAAAATCATTTTTGTTGCACTTGAAGAACAAATAGAAACAAATATGGTGGCCATGGCACTGTATGACCTTAAATGTTGTTGAAAAGTTACTTAAATAAAATTTTTATCATAGATTTTAATGGTAACACTATATTCTTACAGTTGAGGGTAACATAATTTTACTTCCTTTTCCACAAACTCTGACAGTTGATATTTCACTGTCATGACTACGGACCTCTCATGAATGTTGTATATGTTTCTCATATTTTCCAACACCTGAGCAAACGACTACTGGTGGGCCAATAATTCTGACATCAATTTCTTGGAGTGATGCTTGTGGCTTATTAGCAGCCTTGCTCACAGCAATGTGGACATTCTTTCAGAGCCAACACTCATTAAAATTAAGGGTTATGGTCTACTGTCCCAGGTCAGTGGTAACACGCCTGTCAGTTGACGCCCAACATGAATGTAGGTACACACACACACACACACACACACACACACACACACACACACACACACACACACCCACACATCATGAAATGCGATATGTTGGAAATATGTTTTGTTTTGTTTTACTTCACTTCCAAACACTCAGAAACAGAGTCATGGCACTGCACAAGTTGAACCCTGTAAAGTGAGCCAACCGTACATGCCTTCAAGACTTTTGCGTCATAATGGCCGCCCTTCTCATAGTTACACACATATACACAGATAATAGAATCTAATTTAGGTTCCCCATATCTGCAGAGTCCTCCAGAGGATTGGACCTCATTGGACCTACATATTAGGAACATGCAGTCACACCAGTTCATGCTCTACACTGTTGGGCAGACTTAAGATACTGTTGCAGGGCATCTGTTTAATATCTACATCAAGACAGATGCACATTTGGTATGCAAGTACAACTGAAACGACCACATACACAAATGGGCCTGTAATCGTAATCATGCCATATACAACCTGCCACTCAGGAAATCAACACAAACGTGCAGAAAAAAAATTCACATCAAAATAGAGAAAGATTCTACAAACTCACCATGGATATGTCACAAATACACTGAAAAAAATGTTGCGTTGAATTTTCTCAATTTTTTTGTTAAGTGGCGGCACACAATAGAATCATTTGTATTCAGTCACATATTTTGAAGCAGATGGATAGTCTAGTAAAAGCATCTCGGGCAATTTTTGGGTTATTATCAGCGCAATGAATCCTGACCGAGTCACATATACTGGAAAAGTCATAATTTAGACAAGACATGTTGAAAAGACAATGAAGACCTTGTCAAGTAAGCAAGTGAGCTCCAACGAGTCCAACAGGAGCTGTGGAAGGGCCAACAAATACACATGCATCTCAACTAAATGCACAATGTGCACTACAAATGCCTTGCTCAACGGCCTTCGACCAAAAACTGGAATGCGCTGCAGCAACTGTGTCTCTCAGCCAGATGGTTCTCTTCAATCTACGGTGTGATGGGGCGGTTGCGAGGCCATGCCCTTATCTGTATTTCTGGCCAGCTGATCCTTACAGAGATATGGCTTAAGTGCACTTGGAAGTGGAGCACTTATCAAGAATTATCAACCGTGGCTGAAATGTGACTGTCCCGTCCAAATAATCCTGACACCCAAAATGATCTGTGCATTTCAGATGAGAAGAGACAGCCATGCGGTGCTCTTTGCAAGACCAGGCGCACTGACCCAAGCCCGGGGTTCAGCCTTCCTGTGTGCTCTGCAATCACTTCCATCCACCCGGCTGAAACCAGTCCCACCCCAGTGGAGGAAAAAAATTCTAAAAGGGAGAACAAAGTAAGAGTAAGAATAAATTGAACCGAAAAAAATAATAAAAACTGTGATCTGCTGATAAAATGGTCTTTATGCAAGGCTTAATTTACCTTTGTGATAATCACAGGTGCCAGCGGCGTGTGGCGTGGAGGCAGTCATTGGAGCGCTGGCTGTATATCGAACCCGCGCCATTCGCACCAAGGACAGCAGGATGCACCACGACACCACCAATCCCCAACTGTAGGTAGGATTGTACTTTGTACTGTTAATTGTCCTTACAAACGGCAATTATCAGGCCATGCCTTTATGCGCTGTAGATAATCTTGTGTGGTTCTTTTCGCATTGTGTGATGGACGATTACTATTTGGTGCTTGTCCCTTTGATTGTTGAATTTTTGCTCAAGTCTAAGAAAATACTACTACTATAATGAATAATAATAATAGTAGTAATAATAATAATAATGTGAATAAACTGCTGATAATATAAATAAGAGAAGGAATAAGAATATGAAAAATGTATTTCGTTAGTATTGCAATTACCGGGCATTGTTGTTGTTGTTGATTTACGGTATCTGACATTGTTTTATTACTTTGACGGTCAGCATCACTGGATGACCACTTTGCATTCGCTCTTACACTAGGTCAGTTATAACCTCTGCCCTGATATCTCAAAATGAGTTTGACAGATGAATTGAAGGCTATGATTTTCAGGCTGAGAATGTAGACACCGTGAAATATAAGGTGTGATTTGTTTTGAGAACGAAATTCCAACATCAACAGATTGAAAGTCACCCTTATTTAGGAAAAGATGCAAAATAAATTCTAACAATTCCATATGTCGAGAGGAAATTAATGATCTAGTCATGTGGCCTGAGCAGGCTTGCCGACAGTGTCTCGGTTATAAATTTGACAACCGACAGTAAAAACTCTCCTGGTCTATTTGAACTGTCCTATGCTAAGTGACAAATCATATCCTCTTTAAATGAAGCCTTGCAGAAAATAAGCATATCATAACTTCTGCATACTTAAAAGTCCTATATGGTTTAGAATCCCCCCCGGCGAGGAACTTCCAGAAACACTGTTTCAAGATGGTTTGAAAGACAAGACAGGATATGGTAGGATAGTTTAAAGACTTTATTCCAATCCCAAACCAGGGAAATTCACTTGTGCCAGCATAAAACAACATAGCATGTAAAATGAAAATAACAATGAGAAGAATATAACATAAATAAATAAATTAAGGTAAAAATTCAACATCAGTAAAAATATGCAGTAAGTAATGCAGTGAGTACACATTAAATGGAACCACATTCCTGTCACCACTTTTGTGGCATTGTATTTAAGTTTTGAATTTACCGCAATATTGCACGAACCTGAATCTAAACCGCAACTACTCAATGTAAAGAAAAGATATGTATTTTGCACATAAAGTATACTGTGTAGGTTGCAGGTGTCCACGATGTAGCAAGGGATATTTACGCAGAAAGACTTTAGACATGTTTATAACTCCCTTCAAAAGCTTTTTTTCCCCCCTCTGTCCTCATGCATTATAGAGTAATTTGATAGATCGGGATTTCTTGTGTTCAGACACACATTTTGGGGCAGTGAAATGAGTTCTCATAACTTGCTCACAGTTTAGTCTGTCACCAAGAATCATGATGGCCCGCAAGTGGTGAAAACAAACATGTCATGTTTTAATAATAATGCATCAGATCTCTATAGAGCTTTTCGAGACACTCAAAGACACTTTACAGTGGATAGCATGAAAGCGCATTCCCCAGACAGTATTACGGTAAGTGTTTCCCAAGGCAAGTCTCGCCACAGTTTTTGTGACGTTACTTTTTACTGGCCGGCAACAATGTGTGAAAGATATGTATCGCTAGGTAGGAAGGTTAAGATTTGCCTTGAGATTTTTGTGATAATAAGGTCAAGGTGTAGCACAATAAAATAGTTTTTCATTGCAACAATGCCGCTATCGTACAATGTATACAGTAAGGAACCCGTCACAAATGCAGCAGTTTGTCTCCGCAGTCTCTGTTAGGGAATGGAAGGGATGACCCATAACTGTTGTCACTAACAAACATCCTCCAAAGTGGCAGTGCGTTTCTGTGGAGACACGATAATGGCAGAGTTACAAAAACAATCATTTTCCAATGTTTCCTAAGGGAAAAGAAAAAAAGGCTCTAGTTCTGTTGTGTGATTATAAGCATTCGGTTGGCATAAGGCAGCTCCAGCCACCATTCATCTTTGAACCTGTTAGATTTACAGGTGAACGGTAGGCACCAATCTGCTTCATCCACAAGATTTCGGTGAGATGCTTTTGCAGCAACATGACAACTCTGTGCATAGATTTGCACACCAAAACAATGACACATTCAGCCACCATGCATTCATGGCCATTAGATTCCAGTCATTAATACAAAGAAACAATAACCCAACATTAAAATTTACTGATCCATTGTATAGAATGTAAATCTAGGAGAGCCATCAAAATAATTACAGAAGAATAACCACAAAGCTTTTTTTTTTAAATTCTCAACCACAATACCTTGAAAGCAAACGTAAAGCTTTGCTTGCTAAACTTGCTTGCACGGTTTCTCAGGAGGCACATTTCACTCTGTCTCCTGATGCCTTGAGGCAAAACTGACAGAAGAAAAATCATCGACACATTTGCCACAAGCTGCCTCCTGCTGCATTAATAACTGTCATCCAATTCACATGCAAAAATAATAAATACTTATAGACATACACTTGTCTTGACAAATTCTGAATTGGTGATCAATGTACAATCATCCCATTTTGTATGAATTTTATTGACTTGACCGAAACAATTGTGTCCAAACCAGATAAGTGATGGGAGCCGCTGTGCTTTTTCATTGTCATGAATCACTAGAATTCATTCATTGAAATGATTCGTTCAAAGAGCCATTCACCAAATCACTCACTACTCTATCATTCAATTCATGACTCAGCCGTGAGTATTAGCTCCTTGTGTTGGTTAAATATACATAGTATAGTACAGTACAGTGTTTGACAATGATAACTGTAAATCTCAATTTCATTATGAATGTGAAAAAACATCCAGTGACAGGTAAGCATCATTTGATACTACCCTCGACTGAGGGCAAGAATTTAAGAAAATTCACGTTATGACTGAGTGGTTGAAAGCTACCAAAGTCGATGAGACACAAAGCTATGGTAGTTTTAATACAAAAGTGATATGAAGTCACATTTTGAAGCAAGCGAGATTTGTCTTTGCACTTTCAGCGTCTGGTGCAAAAGAGCTGAGCCACTCCCTTGTAAACCAGAATGAAAGCCAACGTTTTACATTCAGCCCACTGAGATTGTCCATGAATGATCCATATGGTGGTTTGGCAACCATCAGAAACTCAACTACAGCAAATGGGGCCGCTCTGACAGATCCAAGAGACACTGCAGTGCAACGTGATATGCAAGTGGGCAGCAAACGCCGACATTTTTTATTGGTATGAATAGAAAGATGTCACGAGGCCAGAGCAACGGAGGTTAGATTCAAACCGGGTGGAGAAGTGTGACGAGGTGAATGACAGAAAGAAGGCTGGCGCCATGCACATAATGCATTCCTGAGCCCCTTCACAACTGGACCTGAGGCCACTTGGAACCTTAACCCTTTCGACCTCACAATGTGAGTTCACATGCACAAAGTCTTTAGCTCACAGACATGAGGTGTACACACGAATATCATCACGCAGTTATTTGTGTCTAAGTGTAGGTCTGAGATCATAAGAAAGGAGTTGTGCTGTGGGAAGTTGTGGCCCCAAAACCACCAACCCCGCCACCATAAAGAAATGAGGACTTAATAAGCTGTGGGCTTCTGTTGTGGTTTCTTTCAGTCTCTTGAGCCCTTTTTCAGCTTTTGCTTGGCGCTCTGTCTCACTTTCTTGGTCCAATGATCTGTTACTCTCCCCCTGCTTGCCTGCATTTGTTTCTCTCTTTATCCATCACAATTTATCTCACCTATTACCTATACCCATATACATTTATTCCGCCCTCAACCCTCAAATACTAAACCTAGACGACTGGTTAACTCGAAGTATATTAATTCTGGTAGCTGTAGACAAAGTATATTTCCATGACATATCTGCATTTTAATAACTACAAAGTACTTTAAGAATAAGTTGCACTCGCAAATATCATTCACAGTCAAACATTACCATAGCCCACTACCATATTTTCCACACTAAAAGGTGCACTGGATTATGAGGCGCACCTTCAATGAATGGCCTATTTTGTCTTTTTTTTTTTTTTTTTTTTTTTTTATATTGCACACACCGCACTATAAGACGCAATCGATGTCAGTAAAACATATTTAATAAAGCCGCGACACAGTTCACTACACCAACAGCAAGTTATAACATTGACTCGTTAACATTGAACTCTCTTGCCGCTGCTCTATTTCCGTGTTCAACTGCGTAACCCGATCGCCTTAAGTCTGAACTCTGCGTTGTAAGCATGTCACTAGCAAGGAGCCATTTTGGGGTTGATATATTACCGTAATAACCATACACAAGGCGCATTGGATTTTAAGGCGCGCTGTGAGCTTTTAAGAAAATGGAAGGCTTTTAGGTGCGCCTTTTAGTGCGGAAAATACGATAATTTTAAAAAAACAAATATTTGCATGTCAACATCTGAAAAGTGCATTGTGACTACCTGTACATGTAGTCAATAACCCTTTCAACAGCCAAATATTAGCAATATTCTGGTTGCGCAAGGCCATGTAATCACCCACAAAAACCCGAATATGACCCTTGGGTCACACCTTTTCTAATCTGAATGTCTGTTCGTCTAAACCAAGAGTAGGGAACTCGGGTTCCTCGAGAGCCATATCCTGCCTGTTTTAGAACCCTTCCAACACCAACAAACCTGATTCAATTGCTCATCGTTTCAGGTCTCTGCAGAACTTGCTGATGAGCTGACCATTGGAATCAGGTGTGTCGGAATAGGGAGGGATTTAAAACAGGCAGGATAGGGCTCTCGAGGAACCTGAGTTCCATACCCCTGCCATAAATGCAGATCGGAATACCTCAATTGAAAGGAATATTGGTTTGTTTTGTGCGCATGCTCTGTCCGCAAGGAATCTTTATCTTTTGAGTTCAGGAAATATGTGTGTCATCGGGTGAGCAACCCGCTGGGAATACACAAGCAGAGATAAACAAACCTGGTGAAACTCAGATGCATCTCATGACAACTTTGGAGCAAGTGGGAAACCGACTGCTTTATTCCTGTGGTGAGTGACATGACCTTCATGTCTTTTATTCATGGTAGAAAGTAAGAAGTGTAAATGATGTTGACGTCAGTGGATCCCTGAGATTGGTTTAAGTAGTCTGTTTGGTTCTTATTCCAGGAATGCGATACTGATAAGAGTTTGGTGTTTTGACTCGTACTGGCACATACCTTTTGTACAAACAAAAAAACTCAGTCACATACACATAATCAACAAAAATCCAAAGTGCCAGTGCTTGTTCACAATCTCTAGCAGGTAGCGTCTTCAAACATACACTAGAGTGGACAAAAGTCAAATACAGTTTGGTCGTGGAGACTCTTATGTTGCAGTACCTTTCCTTTCTTTCTTTTCTTTCTTTTCTGATTGATATAAAAATGATCTATTTATATATAAACACATAACACGGGGTAGGACTAGATACGTTTTTTTACTTCTTCCTACTCCCTTGAACATAATAATTGTGTTAAATGATGACTGATTTCTCTTTCGTTTTTACTATTTTACTTACCTTACTTTCTGTCAATTTATTACTGTATATGTTTTTATGTTCAATAAACAAACGAAACGAGAAACGAGTAGAATGGATGTGTGCATAGCATTATGACTTGGAAAAATAAATGTTAAAGGTAAAATTGTAAAACAATATAACTCGTAGAAATCCTCAACTTGAACTAATTTTCAACTCAGCTGTGAATAGTTTCCCTCTTTCTTTCATCACAGATGTATTGACACAGTAAAAGGCCCACCTTCCCAGAAAGAGAAAAGAAAACTGATGACTACCCAACTTTGTCTCTTCCAATTTTTACGGAAGTAATTGTCGCAAATTTTCGATCAAAGTTTTGATTACGTTTTAGGACCAAACTTTTCACGTTGTAGACTCCGCTATATAAAAAAGTCAAAGGGATCAAAGAGAAGTACTGTAGATCTCTTTGTCATGTGTTGGTTTATGTCCTCCAACAGGAGGACTCCAGGAGGAGTTTGCGTAATTGAATGAGAACCTCCTCAAAGATAAACCGCACTGCTGTGTGATCATGAGATGCTAGACTTGGTTGAGGTTTAAAACCTTTCTTGTGGTCACTTTGGGCTGTGGTGCAATTCTTCATTATTTTTCCAGCAGCCCTCCATGAGTAAACCCCCATACCCTTCTCACCCTAATCCCCTTTTCCTTTGTTAAAGTGTATAATTTCAATGGTTTGAGTGTGATATGAACACAAACAAAAACATATTATGTCCCTTGATTTTGATGAAGTTGTTCACCACTCCCACCTCCCACTCCACATTCTTGTGGAAACCTCAAAGTTTGTGAGATTAAATAAAAAACAACAAACCAAAGAAACATCATGACAAATTTAAAAAAGGGTTTAATCAGGTAGGCTGACACCTAGAAGCAAGTAAGATCAAGACTACATCATAAAGTTGATTTTCATAAGCATTTACACCTACACTTTCTGCAGTGGACCACACATGCATACTGTTGCAGCAAAGCACGTGGATTTTCTGCCTTCTAAGACGTCTAACCCACAACTACAGTCTCCTTAGCCTGTTTCCTCAACATCAAACTACCACAGAGGGCCTCTTTGGTCAATTAAAAACAGTCAAGTCTGGATCCTGACTGAAACACTTTTGAGACATGCATGTGTGTGTGCGCCTTTGGAAAACTTCAAGACGTCTTTTGCCAGAGCCCTTTTTGCTCATTCTGGTAATGGATGGATGACCTTTGACCTTCGAATATATTCTATGCCTGCCTCCGGGCTCCTTGTCTTTTTATTTTCACCTTCTTAATTTTTTTCCTTCTATTTCCTGTCCATCCATCTCAATCTCTCTTCTCTAATGAGACGGTGAC